TACTGTGTGAAATACCATACTGGCTTTTTACTTGATGGAACAGTTTAATCGTCGTTTGAAAATGTGTTAGATTGGTGTTATGGCTGGCGCAATTAGCGCGTAATGATACTAATGGGGGGTTTCAATCTCAAGCAGGCAAATACAAGTCATTTTTATTTATGCTCATTTTGGCTGATATGAATGGGATGTGGCACAAAGTCATCTCACATCAGTAGTTTCGAAATGGTATTGGTCACCCGGTGATACTGTGGAGTCCACCTCTGTGAGTTCGCCTCCGTGAGTCAGCACCCGATTTTTCAGCGTTGGCACGATTTCACCAATACTGACTGATGCACTCCATGCAAATCCAATATGGTAATGTGTGCTTATTTTGAATTGTGGACCTAAGTAGATATTGAGAGTAACCGAGGAAGTAGTAGTGAATGGCAATGTCAACTGTGCATTTCAACCATACTAAACAGCAAATTTCATGGCTTCCACTCCTCCTCACTCTAGCTGTTTTGACATACGAAGTGCTTTTTCATTTCAAGGTGCCTCGCCTCCACAAATTCAAGTTTACATTGACGATCCAGCTGAAATTTACTATGCAAATGATAACCCGCAACTCCCCTACTGTTTATTTACGATTGCTTTTGGCTACGCGGACACTTAAGGCTCCACTTTATGCTTTCGTTGGGTGGTATGACACCCGAGGCGTGACATTATCCGCTCCTCTCCCCTTCTGTACGTTGGCAGTGCATAATCTGGCCCAGTGTTATGTCTTCTTTCGTCTCAAAGGCAGCACAGGATCGTTAGATAAGTATGTATGCGCTGTTGGCAACATGCCCTTGTCAAACGTGTATTACCGCATATGGGCTAATTTTGATTCCTAGAAGGGCTAGTATGCAGAAATAAGGAGAATGTAACTTCCCCACAACTCACCATTGACGCAAACGAATGCGAAATCGGCAGGCAGACGAATCACTGGCAATGGTGTTGAATCAGTGCTCTCAAATGTCTGCGAAAGGAGGAGAACTGCTTTCCATAACCATCAAATTTTACTAGACGCCTGCATATAGTGAATTTGGACGTTAGTGGTTGGTGAAATAGACAGATTCGACAGCAAATTTAAGGCCACACTGCCAAGCCAAATGACCTTACATGACACTGACACTGTTAGAGACGTGATGAACATGAAGGCCATGGAGCCTGTGTGCATAGCCCACGGAAGAATCGGCTAACTGCCCTTGGCGACAACTCCCATGCTGCGTTACAGCATGTGCTTCATTGGAATCGGTTAAGGATGGCATCTGTGCCCGCGATTGTGATTTGCTGCTTGAGGCCAAGTACATCACGCATTTAGCCCCACCTCGATACTGCAGTGGTAACTCCTCCTTCTAACGAAACATGCATTCCAAGATGGTACACTCATAGAACTAACAACAGCGACACATGCGGTTGTGCCGCAAGGAAAAGTGAATTCAAGTACGAGGCTCGTACGGATGAAAGATTGGAGAAAGCCCCAGTTACTACAAGACAGGTAAATTATGCCGTATTGGAGGTTGGATGTTGTTAATTTCGGCGGCAGGCGGCATTTAGAAAGACTTTCAATTGTGTTTCGAGTACTGTAACGTTCTGACTGGATAAAGCTTTAAGCGGCTACTAAAACAGGTAGAGTACTTGAGAGACACAGGCGAAATCAGTCTCAGTAATGCGTAATAATGCTTCAATGCATTTCGTATGAGTAAAATTCGGTAAAACTATATTCGATCATGTGCCAGTGCTGTACGTTTGACACCAATTTATCATGTGTCGTAATCACGTGCTGCTGTAATGCGTATTAGCATAATTTACTACAACTGTGCGCTATCTCACGTCGACGTTGTTTGCTCGATTAAAAGTCAGCACATGTACATGTGTAGGTGAATGCATGACCTGATGTATTTTGTACAACTGGATGACAATTCACACACAACGCATACATGCAATCACGTGCATATGTTTTTGGATGCGTAAAATTCAGTGTACAGACACGCAAGTTTGTCGTTTCGGAGATTTTCATTGTAGCCATATTTACTCATGTGCTGATGATGATACTCTTCTGAGTAAAGCCCAACACATACAAACATTTATGTGTCGGTATGTCTTGATGTGCATTCTTGTGAGTGAAGTTAAGTGGTGATGAACTCCGTGTGCATGAGTCAGTGTACGTGTGTAGTGGTCTCCTCATGTGGTTCTTCCTCTGCGGCTTTCAAAACGCGTTATTGAATGGACTGATTCGGTGACTTGTTTCAGTACAGGTTCGAAGGAATCTGCAGTCTGAGCTCTCCTCTGCCTCGACGAAATCTGACAATGCATTCGCCATCAGAAGTGTACCCACCGAACACTTCTCACATAAGAGGTACAAGTATATAACAAAGGCATTACGGGGCTGTTCTGTTTTAGAGTCTCCACCTTAGAGACCCTCATATGGGCGGTCTCTGTAAATGCCATCGCAGAGTTGGATTTAGTTCTTCCTTATTGCGCAAGCTTTACTTACGTACTCGGCAGGAGATGAACTTTGAAAGAGGAGCACGGTGACGTAGCAAACGAAAATAAATATAAAACAAGTTATGCGATAAAAACAGGGGAGTACGCAGTAAAAGACGATCGAATTGAGGAAAAGAATCTTGATCGGAGGATTAAAAACAGGTGATGTGAAACAACGAAGCCTATTCAGGAATGATTCCGCATTTACAAAGGAAATAAAAAGAATGAGTAACTTCTATGAGTGCAAACTAGTAAAATGCATGTAGGGTTGTGTAGCAGAGGTAAAATTGATTGCAAGCATGTGTGTAAGCACATAACAAAATGATGTACATCAATATAGTAAAATAATGAACACCCATGTGAAATTAGGTGCGGACGGTGATGAAAGTAGTGGAATACTGGCATATATTAAGGAAATTGCAGGTCACTGAAATTGGAATTAATATAAATTGCTAAAATACAGGCAAGGGAGTGGGGAATTGATAGGAGGAGTAAATTTCAACGCATGTTTTAAAATATATGCAAAAATTTGAAATGCTGAAATCCGAATAAGCAAAGTCATGTGAAACTATGTGCAATCAGGTAAGACCGGTATTCCATCAAGTGAAATTCTAGGTATATGCATATGATGTAGTTCAAAGTAGCACGATTGTGTAGCCTATGTGCAATCAAGCGTCAATGAAGTACCATCAGGTAAAATGCGCGTACATATAGGAGAAGCCGCAAGTCAGTGTGAATGGCTTGGGAGTAAATGAACAAAATACGTGCACGAATGTGCAGAGGTTGATAGAAGTAGTGAAGTTCCACGCATAATTATGCATACAAATAATATGAAATGTTGCGATTCGAGGTAGCAAATTGTACGAATATGTTGCACAAACACGCGAGAACGATGCGCTATTAAGTAACATTCAACGTGTGCGCATGAGTAATGGCAAGTCTGTAAATGGATGGAGCGTGAAATAGCAAAATACACTCAGTCGTGTGTAATGGGTGGTGGAAGAAGAGAAGTTACACACATGTCTATGCGCATGCAAGTGATTAAAATATGGTAATTTTGAAGTAGCGTGTGCGCATGATTCCGTGCCCACCATCAATTGTTCACTCGGTGATTGTACGCCCAATAGCATTTCACTGTAATTTCAATTCCTGCTGCCCTGTCCCCATATTGCTTCCAAAAGCCTTCGCTTTGTGCTACTGATGCTGCAATTCTTAAGCAAATAAATTATTGCCCAATGTAATGTGAATATTC